AGGATCAAGGTTCAAAATTCTGGGCAGGAAAGGCCACCAGACAGCTCCATGATTTCCCTGGGTGGTCTTTGCTTTTAGCAGTGGCATTCTGGGAGGGCAGTGTCTTCCAGGAGCAGGGGCTTTATCTCTGGAGATGGAGCTCACAATTACCATGCCTTTGCCACTGTCTGGTTTGCAGTTGGGTCATCATCGCTGCCACCGTGGTCACCATTGTCATCGTCTTTGACCCCCTGGGGGGAAACATGGCTCCATATTCCTCCTCTGGACCTGACCACCTGGATAGCAATGACTCAAGCCAGTTCTTTAATGGCCTCAAGACTGCAGCCAAGAGCGTGTGGGAGACGAGGATCAAGTTCATGTGCTGTTGCGTTGGCAAAGACGACCACACTCGAGTGGCGTTTTCGAGTACGGCAGAGCTTTTCTCAACCTACTTTTCAGTAAGCCGAGGGAGCCCGGTGTGGTCTTGTTCTTCTGTTTGAGTATGTGCCTCCCATGGAAATTCCACACCCTACACTGGGGGCAGGGGCAGGGGCTGGGCACTCTGGAAAGTTGGCTGAGTGCAGGGCTGCATTTTGTAGACCCTCTCACGTGCATTCTTTCTCCATCTCCTTTTCAGTAATCTGTGAAGTTTGTCTCATTCTAGTTTTCCCTTCCCTCGCTCTCTCCCTCTCTCCCCTCTCTTTTCCTTCCTTCCTTCCTTGCTTCCTTGCTTCCTTGCTTCCTTTCTTTTGGTCAGTCCTGGGGCTTGAACTCAGGGCCTAGGCACTGTCCCTGAGCCTCTTTTGCTCAAGGCTAGCACTCTGCACTCGAACCAGAGCACCACTTCTGTTTTTTTCTGTTTATGTGGTACTGAGGAATTGGACCCAGGGCTTCATGCATGCTAGGCAAGCATTCTACCACTAAACCACATTCCCAGCCCCCTTTTTTATTTTTTTAATGTTGGTACTGTGGAATTGAACTCATGGCCCCACACTCTGTCTTGGCTTTATGACTCGAGGCTAGTGCTCTAGTACTTGAGCCACAGCTCTACTTCCAACTTGGATCAAACCCAGGACATTGCAATTGCTAGGTAAGCGCTTTGCCACTGAGCTACATCCTAGCCCTGTCTAATTCCAACTTTTCTTTAGTGGTTAATTGAAATAAGAGTCTCACAGACTTTCTTGCCTGGGTTGGCTTTGAAACACAATCCTTAGATCCCAGCCTCCTGAGTAGAATGAAATTTGTTTGTTTGTTTTGTTTTTGGTTGTGGTTGAACTCTGGGCCTGGGCACTGTGCCTCAGCTCTTCAACTCAAGGCGAGCGCTCTTCCACTTGAGCCACAGTGCCACTTCCTCGTCACAATATTGTGTTGATAAACCACCATAATCCCAGCCACACAAGAATCCAAAGTTGGGGGATCAAAGTTGGAGGCTGACTCTGAGCAAACACGTGAGACCTTATCTGAAAAACCACTAGGAGAAAAAAAACATTGAGGTTATGCCTCAAGTGGTAGAGTGTCTTCCTAGCATGTGTGAGGCCCTGAGTTCAAACCCCAGTCCTAAAAACAAAAGGAATCCTGCCAAGAAAATGTTTTTTAAAACACCTGTGTATACAGCCAGGTACCTGTAATCCTAGCTACTCAGGAGGCTGAGATCTGAGGATCAAGGTCCAAAGTCAGCCCAGGCAGGAAAGTCTGTGAGACTCTTATCTCCAGTTAACTACCACAAAACCGGAAGTGGCGCTATGGCTCAAGTGGTAGAGCACTCGCCTTGAGCTGAAGAGCTGAGGGATAGTGCCCAGTCCCAGAGTTCAAGCCCCAACAAAAAAACCACCTATGTATGCAGTATATATAAACATGTCTGTGTGTTGGTATGTGAACACTATGTAAAACAGAGTTTCGTGCTCTTCCCGGTCACTTCCTGCTGGGTGGCGTGACTGACTGACACTGTGGATCCCACCCAGGACACAGACCTGGTACCCAGCGACATCGCAGCAGGCCTTGCTCTTCTCCATCAGCAGCAGGATAACATTAGCAGCCTCCAGGAGCCGCAGGAAGAGATTGGCCCCACCCCGGGGCTCTCCCAGGTAACTGCAAACGTCTGTGGGATTGTCCTATTCTTACCAGTTAGACTCTGCATCGATGTGCAAGAAATACTCAGCTCAAGCTAGGCATGGAGGTGCAAATCTATAATTCCAACTTCCAGGAGGCTGAAGCTACAGGATGAAATGTTCAAGACCAGCCTGGTCTACATAGACCAATGAGCCAAGCCAGGCACTGGTGGTTCATGCCTGTCATCCTCGCTACTCAGAAGGCTGAGATCTGAGGATCGCAGTTTGAAGACAGCCTGAGTAGGAAAGTATGTGAGACTTTTAATTTTGTTAGCCACCAAACTGTCAGTTGTGGTTCAAGTAGTAGAATGCTAGCCTTGAGCAAAAGAAGCTCAGAGACAGCACCTGGGCCCTGCATTTAAGCACCAGACTGGCAAAAACAAAAGAAAATAAAAGAGATAGCCAAGGGCTGGGAAGGTGGCTCAGTGGTAGAGCGCTTGCCTTGCATGCATGAGGCCCTGGGTTCGATTCCTCAGTACCACATAAGCAGAAAAAGCCAGAAGTGGCACTGCGGCTCAAGTGGTAGAGTGCTAGCCTTGAGCTAAAGAGCTGAGGGACAGCGCCCAGGACCAGAGTTCAGGCCCCACGACTAAC